ACGTATATGCGTATACACACATATGCGTACATCTATATATACATATATATATATATATATTTGTATACATGTACGCATATACATACCAAGATAGACCCATTAACACACTTCTTTCTATACGTATGCAAATGCATAGAACATGAAGGATGCCGATCCTCGCCTCTCACCGTTTTGCTGCTGCATTCTCCCTGTGGGTCTGTCTATTGATGCATTAATTTTGTTTATTTATCTGCTTCTTCTTTAGGGAGTTATCTGCAAATCCTTATAAGTGGAAAGACTTCGCTGCAGAACAACCCGCATGGCTGGAGAGTTTGGCTTTGCCAGACTCTACTGGCCTCACTTCGTTAATTTGCTGGGCAATTCTCGTATCCACTATGGCGGTATGTTGGCTGTTTACTTTTATTCTTCTTTTCTTACAACTACTTTATATTCTTTTGTTGTATGTTTGCTACTTACTTTTATTCTTTTCTTACTAGTACTTCATTCTTGTATTGCTTGTTTGCTACTTTTTATTCTTTTATTACTACTCCTTTTCTCTTTTATTACGTGTCTGCTATTTATTATTCTTCTTTTCTTATTACTAACATTTTAATCTTTCATTATATGCTTGCTACCTATTATTATTCTTTTCTTACTCCTACTTTACTCCAGTTGGCGGCCTCTTCAGTTCAGCCTGAGGCGCAGCAACGTTATATGCATTTGCATATATATATATATATAATATTATATATATGTACATTCTAGCATGTGTGTTTTATATCTGTATATTTATGTTGTTATTACTGGAGTATATTTATTCATTCTTTCACTTTATAAAAATGTAATTACCACTTGAATATATTTCCTTCTTGCTTGTTTTTACCGCCTTATTATACACATATTATATAAACACCAATTAAAAGATGTTTATTCTTGTTGTATACATAAACATATGTAGGCATCAGTTTAAAGATATTTATTATATATATATGTACATATATACAGACATCAGTGAAAAGATGTTTATTACTTTTTTAGTTATTCATTCTTCAGGTAGGGTGGGTGGTGTCGGCGAAGATACAGAGACGAAGTCTGTCGACGCCCGCTGCCTCTACTTTCCCTTCTCCGCTTTTTATGCGAACTGCCAGCGTCGGTGCAGCCACAATATTTTCATTTTACAGCGGAATGCAGCTCCCAGCAGTGAGTTGCTACTGCTGCTGTTGCCGCTGTTATTGCTGCTATTGTGCTGCTGCTGCTGCTGTGCTGCTGTTGCTGCTGCTGCTGTTCTGGGTTCCTCCTTTGTAGATCCCTGTTTTATTTTTAGGGCCAACGGCAATCTGCAAAGCCGGCGGATTGTTGTCGTGGGTGTGCATTGTATATATAGAAAATACTATATAAGTGCATAATATAGATATTATGCACTTATATATAATATATATATATATATTATATATAAACGCGTAATACATATTATATATACTTTTAGTGTGTTGGGTGCTGCAGGCGGCTGTATTATTTCTAGTGCCGGCATTTGCTCTTCAAAGTGCCTTCATGCGCCTCTTTAGACTCCGTTCTGTGGAGCGTCTTCTTCGTAAGCTGAATTCATTATTGCTACTTCGTTCGCTTACAAACCCCTCACTAGCAGCAGCAGCAGCAGAAGCAGCAGCTGCAGCAGCAGAAGCAGAAGCAGCAGCAGCAGCAGCAAAGAGAAAAACCCTGATTTTGCTTGCGCTCTTTTCTTTTCATTTCATTATCATAGTTGAATATCTGGTTGATACCGCCTTTCTTCTTCGTTTTTTGCCTGAGTGCGCATTACTTTTTTTTGTTTTCTTTTGCATTTCAGATTTTGTACCGGAAGGGCTGCGCCCTCTGCAGCAAACATACATTGAAATGCTGCAGAGAAGACAACCCGCTCTAATTGCCGCGTGGAACCGCCGAAGTGCTGACCCCAAATACAGCGACGCCGTTGCAGAGGCAACGGCAGGCGGTGCTGCAGCCACCAGTCGAGCAATGGTTGAGCTGTGGAGAGATATGACAAGAAACACACCTGCAGCAGCAGCAGCAGCAGCAGCAGCAACGAATGCAGCAGGTGTACAACCCCACAAGATGAAAACGTGGGCTGAACAGGTTGTAGCAGCAAGGAAGCAGCAGCAGCAGCAGCAGCACAGACAGCAGCACCCTACTTCTGCAGCTGCTTCTGCTGCACAGCGCGCTGCTTCATAGACGGCTTGAAGATTGCTAGAAACGACTGAGTTTATCATTTGGGTTAATCTATGCTCTGGGCCGCAGCCTTTACTGATTGCGGCAGCAGCAGCGGCAGCAAGAGCTGCCGATGCAGTGAAGCAATAAGTAGGAGACAATTGCCTTCATCGTAATTTGTTTATTATTGTCTTCTCGATACTCTTCAGCAAACACTACAGCTTCAGCAGTGCATGCTATTTGTCTGTTTATAAGGGGGCGACGGCTGCGGATTAACTCAACTGATGAACGCAGTCGTTCTTACCAGTCTTAAAGCTGTCTATGGAGGCCGTTACTAACATTAGTTGTAATAACATTAATAATAACAATAGTAATAATAATAATAATAATGAAAAGGATATGAATGCTATAACTGACACTAGTAGTAATACTATTAATAACAATAATAATAATAATAATAATAATAATAATAATAATAATAATAATAATAATAATAATAATAATAATGAGGTAAGCAATAAGGACAGTAAATAAGACGAAGAATTACAGCGGAAATGAAAGCAAAAAGGGCAGCAGCGGCGTTTCGTTCAGCGCCGCTGGGCAGCGCGAAGCAAAGCGAAAGGAATAACAAACGCCATACATCAATTAAAGATAAAGGAGATAATATAATTATATATCAGAATGCTAGCAAAAGAACAGAGGCTGCATCAAACTATTAAAGCAGCAAACACTGCTGCTGCCACATCAACATATGGCAGAGAGCGGCTCTGCTGAAGGCAGAGTTGGGGCTTCGCCCTCCAAGCGAATTCTGCATTGCGCTGCATGCGGTGGTGTTGCTGCAGCTGACGCTCCTGTTGCTGCATGCAGAGCCGCTGCTGCATGCGGTGTTGCTGCTGTAGGGACTGCTGCTCCTGCTGCTGCATGCGTTGCTGCTGCTGCTGCTGCTGTTGCATGCGTTGCTGATGTTGCTGCTGATTTGTTGTATTTGGCGTTCAGTGCCACGCGGCGTTGGGCCGAATGCCAGCAGCTGCTGCGTCACGCGTCGCTGCCAGATTTCTGTTTCCACCAAATGCTTGGGGCTGAGAACCTGAAATAAATGCAGAAGAAAAAGAAGAAGGCAAAAAAGATAAAGACAAAGAAGAAGAACACAATCGTGGTGACGAAGAAGAAGAAGACAAAGCAGAAGAAGAAGATAAAGAAGTAGAAGACGAAGAAGAAAAAGAAGAAGGCAAAGAAGTAGGAGAAGAAAAAAGAAGAAGAAAGAATGGCTGCGTTGCTGCGTAATGTGTGAACAGCCCCGGGAAGCGCACCAGCTAGCGAGGAAGGTGCAGCATTAGCTCCTGCTGCTGCTGCTCCTGCTGCTGCTGCAGCAGCTGCAGCAGCAGCAGCAGCATGCTTATCTTCTGGGCTTTCTAGGAGGACGATTTCTCCTTTATATTTTGATAACAACACTTCAGTGGTATATCTCTCCTGTCCATCTGTGCCCACCCACCGACGCGTCTGCAGCGACCCGTCGATGTACAGACGACGCCCTTTGCTACAAATAAAAAGAACACAAACATACACTCCAAGAGCAGCAATAGCAGCAGCAGCAGCAATAGTGCAAAAGCACCGGCAGCAGCAATAGCAGCAACGAAAACAGTAGCAGTAGTAGCAGCAGCAGCAAGAGCAGCAACGAAAGACAGCAGTTGTTGTAGCGACAGCATCAGTAAGGGCAGCAGCGTCAGCAGCATTAAGAAGATGGTGAGTTGTTCGCAGCGTTGTGTACATGTTCAGGTGTATTAACACCTAAGTTGTGCAGTCAGGACTGCGTGTATTGATTTATTACTATATAATATTCATATAATATAATATAATATAATATAATATAATATAATATAATATATATATAGTATATTCATATTATATATTTTTTTATGACTTTGAGTAACTGCACTCACTGAACAAATGCCTCCACCAAATCCACCAACCCCCTGTCAAAGACAACAACGCGGTGCCACTCCGTCCGCCCCCGCACTTCTCCTGTCGTCTATAAACAGCAGCAGCAGCAGCAATACAGCGGCAATACAGCAGCAATACAGCAGCAGCAGCAAGGAAACAGCAGCAGCAAGCAGCAGGAGCCCTCCCCCTCTTCCTCTTTACAGGTGCAGCAAAGAAGAACAGCAGCGGTGTGTTATTCTCTTTTGGTAAAGCACAGCCTGACGACATCTTCATTATATGAGTTGCATATATATATATATATTATATTATATATTATATATATGTACTTTTTATTCTTTTAATTCTGTTTATTCTTTTAAATCTGCTAATTATCTAAATTATTTAAATTATTTTCTGACTTTGTCTCTCCACTGCTCCGAGGTTGCGAGTGAAAACGTCGCCATGCGGTCTCCACTCGGCAGCTGGCGAATCTCCGGGTCCAAACCAACGCGCCCGATCAAAGTCACGCGATTCACTGAACGCTCCGCCTGCAGCAGCAGCAGCAGCAGCAGCAGCAGCAGCAACAGCAGCAGCAGCAACAGCAACAGATGCAGATGCAGCAATAATTGTAGTACTAGCAGTAGTAATTCTAGTAGTAGCAGCAGCAATAATTGTAGTAGTAGCAGCAGCAATAATTGTAGTAGTAGCAGCAGCAATAATTGTAGTAGTAGCAGCGGCAATAATTGTAGTAGTAGCAGCAGCAATAGTAGTAGTAGCAGCGGCAATAGTTGCAGCAGCGACAGCAGCAGCAATGGTAGCAGCAACAGCAATAGTAGCAGCAACAGCAACAGCAGCAGAAAGAGTAGCAGCAGCGGCAGTAGCAGCAGCGAAAAACTGTCTCCAGCTGCAGATATGCATATTGCATATTTCAACTCGGTTATTTTTTTTGTCTTTCTTCGTCTCTGTTCTCTTTGTGAGAGCACTAAAACATTAAATTAGAAACTAAAAGCCTCTGGAGTAGCTTTAAAGACATATAAATCGCATGCACCATAGATGGGTGGAAGCACTCACCAGCAATATCGGCGCCCCATTCCCTCCCGTTGCATCTCCTTCTGCGCGGAGTTGAGAGGCTGATGCCCTTCTGCTGCTGCTGCTGCTGCTGCTGCTGAAGGGAGCAGTCGGGAGGGTGAGGTGGCGTCGGCTACCTGACGCTGTAGCGCACGCCGTCGTCAGGGAAGAGGCAGCAGCACCTGCAGGTGCTGCTGTTGGGCAAAGATGATTCCCCTGTAGCCATGAGGGCTGTCTAGATGTTGCAAATCCATCGGTTAAGTTAAGGAAATAAGTGAGGCTAAGCAACAGTAACACCGTAAGCCAGAGGGAAGCTAACGCGGGCCTTCCAGAGGCCCCCTTGGGGGGGCTGAACATAATAAATAATATCTGCTGAAAGTTGCAGATACAGCAATAAAAGGCTTTAGAAGAACATAAAATGCATTTATTACGAAAGAATAAACTCAAAAGGTTGGGAAAAACTCAGTTATTGTACAAATGGGGCTGTCGATGCTCTGCCATTCGGCCGCTGCAGACAGGCGTTGTTGTTTGTACGCTGGAGAAGCTGAACAGTAGAAGAACAAACAAATTGGTTTAAATTAGAATCACAAATAAGTTCTTTTTTTATTAATTAAACTAATTTATTTCTCTTTATTCCGTTTACACATTATTTTCTGCATTTCCGTGGGGGTGCGTATTTCGTTATCCTCGCCGTTTCGTTCTCCTGCAAGTATGATGAAGTCGCCTTTGGGGGAGTTTAAATTCTTTATGAATATTTCTCAGCTTTGATCTGTAATAAATAAATATTTAAATTAATTTGATTGCTGAATTTAAGCAACAAGTTTCCCTAATCGCGTTCCGCCAGCTGCAGCGTCTTTCTGCTGCAGGCGACTTTGAAATTCTTTCATCACGCATTTCCTCTCTCAGTTCACTTAATTGAACATAAAATTAATATAATATTCTTATGAATATTATATTATTATGCAAATTGAATATTGTATTATGTAGTTTTTTTCTTGTCTTCGGGTCCCTCCTCGCAGCCTTTGATACAGAGCCCTCGGTGGTTGCTACAATTGAAAGAATGTGTTGTTTGTCGTTTATTTGATGTTTTTTGCGTCGGTTTTCTTGCGTATGTTCTCATCTGCATCTATTTTCGAAGAAATCCACAGCCAAAGGCTCCCCTGTTATTTATTCTCTTCAGTCAGTCTTACTATCGCGTAGAGTGTAGGGTTCATGTGTAGGGTTTAGGGTGCCTGCATTGGTAATTGCAGGGAGTTGGGGTGTAATGGGTTGCAGAGAGAATTCCATAATGGAGTTAAAGTGAAGAAAAAGTTGTGTTGATTGCAGTCGATTACGAAGACGCACTTCAGGTGTATGCACAGTACAGAAGGTTTCTGTCATTGCTTCTGCCATATTTACTTTCACTATTATAATTCAATTAAGGCAAAAGAAATTTCTTTAGTGTAAAAGAAGAAAAGGGTTTGCATTTGATTGCCCACCCGCTGTATTCTCTAACAAAACAAGCCGCGGCCTGCAGGCTGCTGCTGCTCTTGCTGTTGCTATTGACGCTTCTGCTGTTGGAGTTTCTGCTGTTGCTACATCTCTTGCTGTAGCTGCTTCTGTTGCTGCACCAGCTCTTACTGTTGCTGCTTCTGTTGCTGCTGCTGCTGCTGCTCTTGCTGTTGCTGCTTTTTTTGCTGCTGTTGTTGCTGCTTCTCGTTTGCATAGATTGCTTCTGCGGCGGTGTGCGTTCGACTGTCTTTTCTTTTCACCGAGTTACAGACAACTTGAGCATTTTCTTTTTTATTTATTTGTCTTTTATTTCTTTGTTCTCCACTTTTCTCTTCTTGTAGTGGGCTTTTATTCTAAGGAGAATAGAAATGCCTTCTTTCTCTCCGTTGTGTTATTGTTGCTTTTTATAACAACATTACAAGAAAATATAGATACATATACATATATACTTATGATTATTACTTTTATTATTGCTATTGCTAGTTTTTAATTAGGGAGTGCAGTTGCTGACACGACGAACAGAGGAATGCAGAGTAAACGATTTAAAAGCCAACAACAACAATGATAATAAAGTGGAGGAAAGAGAATAAACAATAACAAACGAATTTATTAATGCGCGTGTTGCATATATATATATACATATATATATATATATATATATATATATATATACTTCCTGGCCTTGTCTTTTTAAACAGATGTTTCCCCTACTCTGTTTGCAGCATGTTCTCTTTGTTATTTTCATTTAGATGTATTTCTTCAATTATTTTAAAGCATATTTCTTGCAAGTTGAACATGAAGAGAAAATACTAAATGCTTTACGCATCGTCGTGCATGTACTGCCGATGGTGTGGTGGGGGGAGAGAGGGAAACCCGCAAAAGCGGAAGGCCTAAGTAATTTTGTTTCGTCCTCAATTAAATTTCTTCATTAATAAAACGCATTCTAAAAGGAAAAAAGTAAAAATAATTGTATAACTCGTTCTATTTTTATATTATACTGGGGGTGAGCGAGGGAAACAGTGAAAAGGTTTGTTTGTGTGATCTGGTGGCGGCTGTTCCGCGTCGGTGGACGCCAGGAGAGGGAAAGGGAGTAGAAAACCTCAGATATATTATTTTTATTCAATTAAATATAGTTGAACTGAATATATTTGTTGTTGTTTTCTTCTTTTTTTCAATAAAAGTTTTCATTTCATCTTCTGAAGTCCTTGCTGTGCCAACCTCAGCATGCGGTATATTATTGAGAATGTTGAGGAGGAGATCGAAGTAAGGAATTGAAAAAAATGAAATAAATTTAAGTTTAATAGAAGAAAACAAACGCAAATGTTTAACTCTGCATTCTCCGCAGCAGCCCTCTTGAATATCGATTTGAATAATAATATATGTGGGGGAAGAAAAAGTGAATTTCAAAGATGTTTCCACTTGAGGTGTATATACACCTCAAGATTCCTCTTTTCTTCTTGTTTCTTCGTACTCAACAGCCACACAGCATAAATACCTTCTTTTGCCTCTTTTTTCTTGCAGAAATGGTGTACTCTTGAATATCAACACATCGGCGACACCGTCGGCCCCTCCAGCGCAATTTTCACTCGGATTCCACCAAAGTGAATTCCAGTCTTTTTAATTGCAAATTACAAAATGTTTTACTCCCATCAGCTCCAATCCATATACAAGCAGGACATGGAGAATTACCCGTACTTCTCGACCAGTGATTATATATATATACATATATATATATATATATATATATATATATACACTGATATGTGTACATATATCTGCATATACCTAGACAGATATTGATATATACCCCCGTATATATCCTGAGAACGTATATGTATGCACTGGTATATATATATATATATATATATATGTACATATATTCATATACATTTTTTGAATGTGTTGGTGTTGGTGTTGTCAGTCAGCTGGAGGATCTGAAGGGCCAACTGAAAGGACGTCTGCTATCGGGTATGAATGAATTGCTCGGTTTTGAAAAAGATTATTTTGTCGTTTAGTCTGGTCTACATTTGTTTGTTTTCTTTGTAGATGTACACTTCAGATAGAATGAAGAGAAGCCCTCGCTTGCTGATATTATCATGCATTATTTGTTTGTTTATTTTCTTGTTTGTTTATCGTTTGCTGTCTTCTTCTTTTTCTTAGATTCGGTAGAAACCCTCGAGGATTTGGATTGGAATAGAGTGGTGTTATTAGATGTGAGTCTATGTGGAGGATATTTAATTCCTTTGCTTGAGCTGTCAGTACACCCCAACAGCCAACATTAAAAGATCAATGCAACCTGCATTTATTCAATTCTTTCTTTAATTGGTTCTGCTGCAGATGGATGCAGAAGAAGAATTGAAAACCGAAGATGCTGAGCGGTTTGACGCTGTACTCGTTGGGGGAATC